CTGGCAGCTGTGGCAAAGCCAAGGCCTATTTCCTGAGGACTCTTGCCAATGACCCCAAACTCCACATTACTGGAGAGGATACAGATCATGCAGCCTTATCCTTGGCTTGTTCAACATAGATTGCTACCTCTACCCTAGTAATATGCCTATTCATCTGTGGGTTCCCCTCCTACTGAACTTCTCCTTTCTTTTCACAATACGGAGACACCTTCCCCACTTAGCTGCAGAAAATGATAACTCAAATGGTTGCCCAACTGGGAAAGAATTAAAGTAAGAACAGTCTAGGGACAGATCCCTTTCTAGTCCTGAGCCCGCAAAGCCCCTTAATATGGCCTTTTACTCTGGAGGCAAACCTGTCTGCTGGGTATATATGTCTTCTGCATCTCTGTCTTTCCCATCCTCTGTCCCCAGCAAGAGCCCCATTTTAGTTAGTGTTAGCCACGTTCACTACTTCCCACTAATGAGGAAGAAACAGGGCAAAGAACCCTGGCCACCAAAGAGCAAACCAGGGAATCCTGCGAACCAGCCTGAGAAACATGCACCTGCATTCAGTGATATCTGAAGGAGCTCCCTGAAGAGGAAGCTCACTCCGAAACAGAAACCTTTGCTATGGGCCTCACAAAGAATTTCTCCTTAATTTAGAAGCAATCACTTACATACAGGCCTTTTCAGTGCTGACTTTTCTGCACTCTCTCCTCCATCCCCAAGTCTGTTGGGTTAAGGGAAACAGGAACTTTTAGAGGACTTCCTACCACAAAAACAAATTCCTGAAGACACAGAGGTGCCTACAGGCTCCCGACTTGCTCCTTGTAATAGTCAGGACCCTGGATAGACCCCGGCAACTCCAGAAACCTAACCACTGAGTGACAGGGTATCTGCATAGAACGGAGCGGTCTTTGGCTTTCACGTGTAAACTGAGGGAAAGGTCCAGTGAGTCCGGATCTAGAGGGTCACCCGCCCTTCTTCAAGAGTTTACGAAGAACCAAACCGTACCCTCTAATGAGAGTTCAAGACAGCGAGGCCAAGGAGATTTTGATAGCCGCCTGCCAGCAGCCAGTCCCTACATTCTTCCAAGCTTGGGGTTCCATATTGCCTTCCGGACCAAATTCACAGTTTAAATTTCTTGCTGTTCCAAACATTTTTTTTCCAGGGGTTCTGAAGCAGTTTGAATTTGTGAGTGCCCTGATTTTCTGGGGAAACGGGGGAGGTGGGGTATCACCAGGAATTGACTTCTTCCTCAGACAAGAGGCAAGTGATGAGGTTTCTAAGTAGAATACAAATTAAATATCATTTGCACACTTAAACTGGGAATTTTGAGTGAAAACCAGCACATGACTGAGATGTCTGAGTAATTATATGCTGGCTTTATACTAGTCATGTTTTGTAATTTCTACCTGTGCACGCCAGCAGCTCTTCTTTATATCTAAAAAGTAAACAAGACTGAAGTTTCCTCCACAAACAATTCCAGTTAGTTAGGTAGCATACTTTTACTACTTCACCAAGAGCGTCAATTTCAGGATAAGCCTGTAAATGTGGGGTTTTTCTCAGACTAAAAAGTAAAAGGTGACTTTCCTTAGGCTACAGGTATGACATTCGTCTTAAAAGGCAGCCAGGAAGGAATGAATATTAACTTACAGGATAGTCCTAAAATGTTTAAACCTTTAAGTAGAATTTAAAAATTATATCTGCATCCTGGCTTTGAAGATCTTTAAGAAAATTGTGGATTTAAAGAGGGTTTTAGTCATTTGTTAACTACCTAAATATACCAAATTGATAAATGAAAAACCTGTTCTAAGTGTTTAGCTCTTTGAATCTATTACTTCAATACACATAGCTGTTAAGACTAACCTTACAATTTCATTACAATGTAGGAAACTCTAAAAAGAAACGAAATATAATGTGCAGCAAAATATCCATATTAATGAAAAATCATCAAAAAGAAATATTCCCCTTTCACTCAAAATTTGCTTACATTTACCTGATAAGGATTTCTAGGTCCTTTGAGCCCCCTTTATTAACACTATATACACATTTTTAAAAGACTCAAGATTTTAAAAAAATTTAATCACTATATATTTAACAAACTTACCCACAAAAAAAATTTTTTTTTTGCATAAGGACACAGATTCTGAGATAGACCAAGAAGGAAAAAACCCTTCAATTTTCCTCTGCCTCAACTACAGGTGATTCTGATGAAATAGTGTAATTCATCTTTTATTTTTACAGACAAAAAATAACACAGTTATAAAATAAACTTGAGGAGAGGCTATTTACCTCTGGGTAGTAAACTCTTGATTGTAGAGTTCCCAACAGAAACAACACATTAATACTTTACAAAGCTCAAATCCCTCCTTCTCCCAAAAGAGAACATTGGAACTTTATTCAAGTGCTACTTGGGCTAAACCAGACAATTATCTTCAATACTTAAATCATTAAAAACAACTAGAATGTTAGGCTGCAAATATTCAAAGCAGAATTCCCCCATTTCTTTATGGCTCCTACTAAGGGAATTAAGGGACACTCACAAGTAAACCTGAATATGAGCATCATAATCATCTCACAGTACTAGCATTTCACGAATCCTTTTAAAGCAGCTTTCAATAGCCTACCTATTCTTGAAAATTAGCTTTCTTTGACACTGTATGAGTGTTTAGAATTAAAGATATGAACTAAATATTCAAATTCAGAAAAGAACTATTTAGTAATCTATAATCTTCCAATTTTCAAAAGGTTTTCATTTTAAACATCTGCAGAAGAGTTAAATTTAGCACACATTCTAAATTCCATAAAAAATTCACAGAACCCGACATTTTATGGACCCCAAAGGTCCAAACAAAACCGATTCAAATGTCAAAAGCTCTCTCTTAGTCTGATACTTAAATGATTTTACTAGTACTGTACTCAAGGAACTGAAATCACAACTTTTGCCATACTCTAGTCAACACTCCATTTTTCAAAGCCGCAATTCCCTTAAGTCTTTTGGGCGGGGACAAAGGGGGTCTTAAAGTAAATCAAAATTTTCTTTTCCCCTCTGGCAGTCTACCAAAAGATGCCAAACCAAATCCAGCCTATTGTAAATCTCCCTCCCAAGGACATGGGACGGTAACATCGACACCGCTGCTAAAAGATGCCTTAAAGCCCCTAGCCGGACAGAAACGTAACGGGCCCAGATCAGCAGAGCCTCAGAGACAACGAAAAAGAAGGTGGCATTTTTCGGGGGAGGGGGGACGACAGCCAACAGCTGGTCTCTCGGGGGCCTCTACCAAAGTTCAAGCTTATGGTAGATATATTTGTAGGGTACCTTCTCCTACATCACAAGCCACCTCTAGTCCTACTGTCGGTCTAGCTACCCTCTAGCTTCACATCCTCACCCCCCCCTGTCGTCCCCCCCCCCCCGACAAAAGCGGGGTTGGGTATTGAGCACGCAGATCTAGCACCCGGGCTATTGCTTGGGCCACCCATCCTTGGGCCTGGCTTCATGTGCGATGTCAGCACGGATTTGTTTTGCCCTTAAAAAACAACCAACAACGCACCTTGGGCGTGTGTAATTGGGGGGGGGGGGGGTTGGAGCAGGAGAGGGGTTGGTAGTGGAATCTAATTTATAGATCCCTCCTTCCTCTTCCCACCTTCAAGGGATGCTGCACTGGGAGTGTCGGCCACGTTTAGCGCACTGTCCCAGGCCTCGGGGCCACGGTGGTCTGTGGGAATGGGGCTCAGAGATGGAAAAGAAAAAAAAAAAAAAGCCCGCATCATTGATGGTCTCCAGTGTCTGCGGGGGGAGAACTGTTTTTTTTTTTTTTAAGGGGGAAATGTTATGATGTTCCTTCTCGGAAGTGGGAGCGGGTTCCTGCGTTCGCTCCGCCAGGCCCAGGGTTTGGGGGGTAGGGGGGGGGCGTTGCTGCACTGCCTGGGTCTGCAATGGCACTCTTAATCATTCCTGGGCCGCGAGGACAGTTTCAGGGGACAGGGTGGGCGGCACCTCGAGGGTGACGGTGACAGCAAGCAAGGTCGCGAGGGGCTTACCGGGGCGGGCGGGCTGGCGGGCGCTGTCCTGCCGCAGGTGAGGGAGGGCGCAGGCTGGTGGAGGGAGGCCGGCGCGCGCGAGGCGGGCGCGAGGAGGAGGAGGAGGAGGAGGAGGAGGGGGAGGAGGGAGGGGGGGGAGGCGCGCGCGCACACCTGTTCTGGACGGCGCGCGAGCCGCACGGCGGCGCCTCACTCGGGCTCTCCGGGCTGAGCCGCGAGGAGGGCGGGCTGCGGGCAGGGGCGGGCCGCGAGGGGAGGGGAGGGGAGGAGGCGGAGGAGGAGGAGGAGGAGGGGGCGGCGGCCGCGCGGCGGGCTCCGGCCTGGCTCGCTCTGGCTCCGGCTCCCGCGGGGGCAGGCCGGGCCGACACCCGGCTCCTCCCGCTCACTCACGGCCCCCTGCGGCTCGCTCGCTCTCCTTCTCCTTCCCCAGCGGGCTCCGCTCGCCGCCGCCGCCGCCGCCGCCGCCACGGCGAGTCGTGGCAGCCAGACGTCGGCGCGTAACCCGGCGCTCCGTGCGTGACTCCCGGCGACGTCAGCGCGCGCCCCCGCGCTGCCCACTTCCCCCCCCCTCCCGTGGCTCGCGCTCGCGGCTCCGTGGCGGCCGCGGGAGCCGAGCGCGCTCCCCGCCTCTGCCTCGCACGCGTGAGCGCGCCCTTCGCCGGGGTTGGCGCGTCAACACCGCAGCCCAGGCCCCGGGGCGCGTCCGAGGACCGGGCCCCGGTGGTCGCTCCCTCCCCACCCCGCTCCCGGGACGCCCCCCTCGGGGACTCATTCCCTCGCCGGCGGTCTCGAGGCCCAGGCGGGGCTCGGGCCCGGGTGGAAGCCCGAAGGGCCTGCGCCAGCTCCGCGTTAGGGCCTCGGCGGCGTCACTGCGGCTGCCGCCGCCACCTCGTCACACGCCCCCTCCCTCCACCCGGCTCCGAGGCAGCGAGCCTTTCATCTCCCGGGAGGGTCTCACCTTGGCCTTCAGACGCCCGCCAAGAGGGGCTTGGAGGGGCGGAATTAGCCTCAGCAGAGAGGCTAGATCAGGCTCTGGCTCCAGGAACCATTGACAGGAAGTGTGGGGTGTCTGCCCAGCCTCCCACGCAGTGTAGGTGAAGCTGGGCCCCTTTGAGGGAATGTGACTAAGGACAAAACCCTGATAAATATTATTTATGCGTCCTTGGGCAGAGAGAGAGAGAGAGAGTAAAGGGGACGGGTTAATTTTCATAAATTGCCATGCAAGGGTAAAACCCAGGACTATACAATTGTCTTTTAAGGGTGTTATGAAATCTTACCAACTTTGAGATTTTTGGTGCACACATCTCAGTCCTCAACACTAAGTACACAGAATTAACATAGATCAGCTAATGATGATCCGCAGAATAAATGACAAACGGCTTTCACCATCTTTATTTAAATAGATCTCCAAGAGAAGTCACCCTATTGTTTAGGAAAATAAAGAGGCGAATAAAAAAAGCAATTCAAAGGAAATGACCCATTACTCCTCAGCCCATATCAAACATTTTCTCGCCTCTACAGTCAATGAGCATTTTGTTCCTTTTTTAAGTACGAGAATAACTAACTTAAATAACTAAAATAACTGACCAGATTTTATGAAGTTATTTTGAATATACATGACAAATGCTCTGTCCTTAGGCAATAGAACTTTAAATTTCATTAATCGTCAAGAATTTTATCTAGTGAAACCCATGAGAAAAGTAGAAATTATACGTGATACATCCTGTTTTATAGATGAGAACTTTCGAGTTGGAACAGTTAGTTAGCTGTCCAGAGTTTTAAGGACTTTCATCCGTGAAGGAGAAAGCTTAAGTCATTCTGTCCACTACCCTCCACTGTTGTCTTCAAAGTATCTTTCAAAGTACCCTTTTTATTATGTTTTATTATGTTGTAGATAGCGGTTAGGGGCTGAAAAGGATCAAAGGGAAGGCTTAAAAGGTTTGAATTTGAGATTTGTGCTATAGAACATGATACTCAGTAATACATTGTGAAACAAATTGAACTCACACTTAGAAAAGCAACAAAATGTTTGTTAATCTCTGGTTAGAGGCCAGAAAAAGAGAAGGGCTGAGGAGTGATGGGTCATTTCCTTTGAGTTACTTTTTTTATTCACCTCCTCTTTAGGTGGCAGCACCGCTATACAAATGTCTTCTAAACAGTCTTCTGTGTCCTGACGTCCTGAAGTATTTCATCCTAAATGTCTCCAATGTGGAAATTAGAAGCTGGTGAAAAATACGAAATCAGAGCTGAGAATTAGAGTGCTTGGGAAGTCTACAGAAGGCCGCAGAAACTAACAAACTTCATGGAGTTATTGAAGGAAAAGCCTAGAACTTTAAGAAATACATCAAGTGTGAGAAGCAAGTGAATGTGCCTTTTTATTAGAAATAATATTTCTAACATTTCACCTTATCAAGTATATTTTAAAGTTGCAATCTATGCAGATGTTGGTTTTCTAACTGCATTTTTTCTTCTTAAATACAGAGTCTCATTATGTAACTCTGGCTGCACTAGAACTTACTATGTAGACAAGGTTGGCTTTGAACTCAGAGATCCTCTTGCTCTGCCTCTTAAGTGCTGGTTTCTGACTGCAATTTTTGATTTAAGTACAATTTATTTTCAGTTATCCACTATCGGGCTTAAGAAGATCCCCAAACAGTGCTTTATTGTTGCCCCTTGTTGAAGAAACTCTTCCTGGCTTCTTTTCTGGCTTCCCTGTATCGTTCATGTACAAAGTAATCTTCCATCACTCGAACTCAGAGAAGTGAGAATACTGACTGAAGTAGATGTGAAGTGGGAGCCATTTACAAGTGATTCTATAGCTTAACCTTTCCCACATTTTTTATTTTTTGAGACAGAGTCTCATGTAGCCTAAACTGGTCTCAAATCCACTATGTCCCATATTTTTTTGAAGATAATAAATTGTGATGTGTAGAAAATTTTTAGATCAAGTGATGTCTAAATATGTTTGCCATAATTAATTTTGTTGATATATAGTAGTTCTCTCCTTATCCCTTACCAAAGCAACCCAATAAAATTGAATTTACGTGCATTTCAAAATAGCCTGCATTAGATTTGCTGTGTACACACAGCCACCAAGGACTATAGAGGCATGACAACCAAGAGTGGGAAATCCAATTATTTCTGGAGAGAGGATAAAGTGTTGATAAAGTCCTTCTTGATGATAGCTTCCATCTTTCTCAAGTCAAACTTGGAGGAGGAGTCTCGAGTGAATTGGTAGTTCTCAAACTCAGCAGTATTATGTTAGGATTTTAAAGCACTCCACTGCCAGCAATCATGCAGCCTGGGGCTTTTGTTCCAAACTTCTGCCAACACTATTTTGGCAGTAGAATGTTCTGTTGAACAAAGTTTGCACGTGTTTAGGGTGTGAAGTGGTTCCTTGGGCTTTTATCTGGTTTCATTCCAGTTTAGAGACTTGAAGACAAGGGTCAGAAGCATGAGACTGAGTTCATATGTGTCTTGAAAGAGACCAAACAATTTTGAATTTTCACTCAGACTATGATCAGCTTTTTCTTTGTTTTTGTGAGAGTTACTGAACTGTACTTTTTTAGTTACTTCGTAAATATTAACATAATATTGAGCCAGTTCTCATCAGCAGATAAACAAGTTCCTCTCTATGGAAAGTTGGGGGATCTTTCTTCATCCTCCTACCTATAACACCACCAAAATGGGTTTATTCAGATGAAACTCACTAGTTAATGTGCAGCCTCAGAGCAATGGGACCAGTGATTAAGTTTGATCTCATGTATCAAATTTTATATACCCATGAGCCTCTGATTTTTTTGGACTCAGTTGTCTGCTTTCAGATATTCGACCTACTTCTTTCCAGCCTGGAATCATTGCTTAGTGGAACATGGCACAAATGTATGTGCTAATTTGTTAAGGGGTCCCTCTTCTTGGAAGCATACAATCTATTTTCATTATTTTTTTTTTGACACTTTTTTTTTTTAGACAATGCCTCACTATGTAACCTTGGCTGGCCCAAAATTTGATATGCAGACCAGGCTGTCCTTGAACTCAGAGATGAGATCCACCTACCTCTGCCTCTCAAATGCTGGGATTAAAGCATGCACCACCATGCTTAGCTATTTTTTTCAAGTTAAAAGAAAAATTCCAGGGCTGGAGAGAGATTTCAATGATTAAGAGCACTTACTGCTCTTGCAGAGGATTTGAGTTCAGGTCCCAGCACTCATGTGGTGGCTCACAACCATTTGTAATAGCAGTTCCAAGGGATCTGGTGCTGCTTCTGACCTCCTCAGACTCCTTTGTGTATGTGGTGCCATACATACACATGCACATAAAGAAGTCTTTGCTGGCCGGGCGGTGGTGGCACACGCCTTTAATCCCAGCACCGGGGAGGCAGAGGCAGGCAGATCTCTGTGAGTTCAAGGCCAGCCTGGTCTACAGAGCAGGATCCAGGAAAGGCGCAAAGCTACACAGAGAAACCCTGTCTCAAAAACCAAAAAAAAAAAAAAAAGTCTTTGCTGAATCTAGGTGTGATAGTTTTAGCCGTCAAAGGCTATAGGAGTAGAAAATTAAAGGTAAAATTTATTGACTTTTTTTTTTTGAGACAAAGTCTCACTGTATAGCTTTGGCTAGCCTGGATTGTATTACATAATCCAAGATGGCCTTGAACCCATAGAGATTCACTTGTCTCTGCTCCTGAGTGCTGTAATTAAAAGTAGGTGCCACTAGGCCTTGCTGAAAGTAACAGATACTAAAGCAATACAATTGTCTCATCCTTACTATAATCAATGGGATATCAATTTCTAGGCTACAGGTACAGTAATTTGAAAGTGTTGGATGTCCTGGATACTTTCCCCAAGGGGGTAAAACTTCTTTATAATTTTTCTGAAGTCACATTGTGTGTATGTGTATGCACACCCATGGCACATGTTTAGATGTCAGAGGACAACTTGTGGGAACTAGTTCTCTCTTGCACTTTGTGAGTTCTAGGGATCAAAAACAAGTTATCAGACTTGGCTGCCTTTATCTGCTGAGCCTTCTTACTGGCCCCAAGAGGGTGTAACTTCTTCTTTATAGCTTTTCATTTCCTTCTCTTTAAATTCAATTTAATTTTGTGTTTTGGAGGGTTTTGTTATTGTTGTTTTTGTTTTTTTTTTGAGACATGGCCTTGCTATATAGACCCGGCTGGCCTGGAACTCACAATGTAGGTCAGGCTGGCTTCCAACTCAGAGCAATCCACCTGCCTCTGCCTCACCAGTGCTACGATCAAAGGTATATGTCATCATGTACAGCCTTAAAGTAATACAAAAACAGACAAAAACAAATTCATATATTAAAATCAACATATGGATGAGCTGAGATATGGACAGGAAAGCTAGGCCTTTCCAAAGTGTAACTCTGTGTATTCAAAGTTGCTGGCATTTTACAGTGACTGTGAAATTCCTCTGCTGCCTCCTTTAGAACATTAATCGGCCACTGAGCTGCCTGGATCAAGACTAAATACATGTGGCTCACCTCTGAGTCTAGCCCAGGCCATTTTACAACCTAATCCAGCAGCACTTTGTGACCAGATGGATGTCAGCAGATTTTCTACGTTGAGTAAAATGTTTCAGGGGAAGGCAAAGCAATAATTCAAATGCAAATACAAAGTAAGTTCAATATCTTTTGTGTTGCAATCATCATTTTTATCTTTTTTTGGTTAGGTTCAGGAGGTTGAACATGGGGTCTTACGAGTGTTCTACTACCAAGCTATGTACCCAGACTGTTATCTTTTATTTCCTGTGAGTGCACTTTAATTCACGCTTGCATATGCAGAGGACAGCTTTCGGTGTCATCCTTAGGAACACCATCCACCTCCTCTGCACCAGGGCCTCTCCTTTGCCTGGCGCTCACCAACTAGGCTACAGTGACTTGGTCAGCAAGCCCCAGATCGTCCTGTCTCTGCCCACCCCCAGCATAGGATTAGGAGTGTGTACCAGGCACTCAGCATTTTTATATGGGTTCTGTGAGGAGTGGATGAAGTCTTGAGGAATATGTATTGTTGACAGGCATGGCCATGTTAAGGACACCAATGCCTGAGACCCATGGGAACTGGCAAAGCCTCCCTTTGGTCCCCATGCTGATGATGCTTGACAGTGTGTGCAAAAACTAGCAACTCCAGCTTCTTCCTCCAACTGCAACCTGAGGCTCTATTACAGAGACCTCCCACTGAGGCTAACTAATCCCTCCTGTTGTGTTGTGCATAACAAAAGGGCCGAGTTCCCAGGCTGTGTAGTAGGTGCCCTCTGTTAGAGCAGGTTCAACCCACTGGGTCCCAGCTTTTATGGACGTGTGTCTGTCATTCCTTTACTCCTGCATCATCCCAGTCAGGCTTCCAGGACCAGGCTGTGCAGGAGGCAGCGGGGTTCTGGGTATCAAACTGTTATTCCCTGTGTTTGGAAGGCGCTACCTCTCCAACCCTCCACGTTTTGTTTATTCTTTCATAATTTCATATGGATACACAATGTGCTTTGACAGCATTCTCCCCATTATCTTCTCCTTAGGACCTTCTCCCTCTCACTGAGCCCCTTCCTCCCAACAGAGGTCCCTCCTACTTTTATGTCTTTCTTTTTTCCCCATTTAATTAAAGTCACTTGAGCAAGAATGCTTTACTAGTGGCCCCACCACTAAGGAATATGACTTCCCCTCCCCGCAACAACCATTAGCTGCCTACAGCCCCTCTCAGGGAGAGATGGGCCTTATGAGCCCCCCACCCTACCCCACCCCATGATGAGATGTTGACAGGCCACTTGTCATCTCCAGAGGAAAGTGTTTCAAAAACAGTCCTTCCCATCTTCTGGCTCTTACATTCTTTTTGCCCCATCTTCCATGATGTTTCCTGAGCATTGGAGGAGGTGATGTAGACGGCTCCTTTAGGGCTGAGCAGTCAACAGTGACCAGTTATAATTCTCTGCATTAATCGCTGCCCGTTGCAAACAAGTCTCTAACCAAGTCTGAGAGCCTTCATTTATGGGTATAAACATAAATATGTAGAAGGCAGTTTGACACCATGTTCATGAGTAGGTAACTTCCCCACCTGTGGGCTTTTGACCAGGTTTATAACAGCAGGAATGAATTCCCCCTGTGGTGGGGCCTCAAGTCTAATGACAAAGTGGGTGGTTTACCCCTGTAACAGCCATGCCGCTACTGTACCAGAAAGTGCATCTTGCCGGGCAGGCTGGTATTATAGCTTGCAGGTTCACAGCTGAGTAAGATCAGTGGTGACCTTTACCCCCCTGGAGCCTGCATAGTGTCTTTGGGAGCTAAGAAAGCCAACAGTAGGGAGGAGGCTTCTAGCTTGATTTCTTTATGTCCTGCAGCTAAAATGTGTGGTGCCTTCTGCGGTAGGGTTTATCATGCACTTCTGGTGAGCATGCAAGAGCAACACTAATTGTCTATATTGTTTGAGGAGTCTCGAGGGCCTCACTGGCCAACAACTCAAAAGGTGGTATTCCAAACCTGGTACTAGAATTTTCACTTAATAACCCACGACTTTCACAAGCAGCATTGTCTTATATGTGTGTTTATACATATATATGTGTGTGTATGTATGTATGCACATTATTTAAAATAAATTAATATATAATTTTTATAAGGCCTCACTATGTAGTCCCAGCTGGCCTGGAAGTCATTCAGACCAGGCTGGCTTCAAACTCACAGAGATTTTCCTGCCTCTGCCTCCTGAGTGCTGGTATTATTATTATTATTATTATTACTAGTGCATGTGTGTATGTGTGTGTATGTGCACCCACAGCAGGTCAGAGTGCAAGTGACTGGAGTTGGTTCTCTTCTTCTACCATGTGGATCCCAGGGACTGAACTCAGATTGCCAGACTTGGTGGCAGGCCCCTTTACCCGTTGGGCCGTTTATCAATCCTCCATTATATTTTAAATGAACCTTTAAAATAGGTTTGCATACGTCTCTT